GTAAATTACTTCAAACCTGGTGCAAATAAGCAATTTTAGTGGTACATAAACTTAAATGTAAGGCTGTTTGCCACACAAAGCTATTATATGGCTTTAAAAGACCATACAGACCATGAACACTGCAGCAACAATTTACAATAAGATCTAATTCGTTAACATTAAAGAATTGGGTATCATCAATTAACAATGAACGACTATTCTACAATATTTAGTATGTTACAAAATACTATTATTCATTGTTACTTCATGACAGCACATATAATTTGAAATCTCAAAAACATACATGCAACTTTTAATACATTTTTGGCATTATTTATTTAAATTGTTATTACTTTCCTTTGTGTTTATTAAATAATTTGATGTATAAGTCATGCCTGTTGAGAGATGAGAAATTACAAATTAATAAAAAATAAATACATTTATGAATAAACATTAACAAAGATTAATAACTAAAAGATAAAAAATTTATACATTTATCACTTAATATAAGTTATATTAATATATTCATAATTACAATAATTTATGTATTAATATATTTATATGTAACTAATGTTTCAATTAAATATATTAATGTATTTATAAATTAACATTAACCAAAATTACTAAATGCTGTAAAATTAAAGAAATGTTATATTGTTCTTTCATGATACCTAATGCATTAAGAATCTTGACAAACTTAACCTTATTGTTAAACGTTTATTGTAAAACCCAAAATTGCACATGGGTTTAGAACTGGTAAATAATGACAGAATTCTATTTGCAGTCATCTATCCTTTTAGGAAAGACTGAATAATGGTAGCATTCTAGCACACGATGTTCACAGTGACCTGTGTAATTGTCAGAAATCTTTCAGACTTCATCTGGTACATATGAAAAGTCACAGGAACACATGTTTGGATTCATATTTCCAAATTTCATTACCTGCATTAATAGAGCAAACAACTTGTAGCTCTTTCATGTGCTCTAATTAAACAAGTACACACACACGCACACAGACAGAGCTTTTAAGTGAGACGGACAAGACGTACAGACGCACAAGAGAGAACGGACTGTTTTTTGGCCACAGGTTTGCTTTCATGTCAGTGTAACAAAGAGCAGTCGCCCTCGTCCCCATACATTTAAGAACAACATACTGACAGCAATCTGTACAGGCACCGCACTCGGTCCAACATGTGCTCTGCACAATGAGAACAATGAGGATAGCGGCTATTGGAGGAAATTGAACACAGAGCTAAAGACGAATGCTTGCTTATGATTGGCACAACAGAGGGTGTGGTGAACCAACGGAGGGATGTTAATTAAATAGTGGAGGAGAGACTCTGTGTGTGCGTAAGGAAAACCGTGTGCGTTTGTGTGAAGCTAATTAGATTATGCATGGTTTAATGCAGGACCACAAATTACGCATTTAAAAACCTGTCTGCCAATTGCCAGTGAGGCAAGACGCCATTCTTTTTTTTTTTTCATAGCTCATAACTCCCAAAATATGTAACCCGGAATATGAGTTAATTCTTATATAACAGGTGCCAGGGTGGGGAGGAACTTCCAACAACGATATCCTGAGTGTGCGTAGCGAGACTTGATGCGGCTGGGACATTGGTAATGAGCGTGGAGACTGGCTCTGGAGGGTGGCACTTGTACTGTCCCCATTTCCTCTTCTCTCTGTGCCCAAATGAGGGGGCCGGCCAGGCTTAGCAGCAGCGTTGGCTCCCGCTGCAGCCCCCAGCTCTAATTAACCTCCGGGGGATTGGAGCGGAGGTCCGCCCGGCGGTGAAGAAACTCTAGGCCACGATATGTTCCCGAGACTGCATCGTGCACTGGGACGATGCTCAGCCAGCCATGCGAATCTTTAGAAAACGGAGAGAGAGCGAAAAGGAAGGAAACGGCGGGGCGCCAGGATCCACAGAAGGTAGAACAAACCATTAAGGGTTTAAAAATGAAGCAGGGAGTCGATGAAGCCAAGTAAGATGGACAGAGGGGGAGAAAGGAGAGGGAAAAGGTCAGGGATTCTGGTAGAGGGGAAGCAAGATTTTGGCAGCTGCTTTGCGCTCTGTTTCAAAGCCTGACTGGCTGCTGGTGTTGTCTGGTTCATGGAGGACTCATTTGGAGAAGGTTATAGGAGTTTGATGCTATCGCCAAGGCTCAACAGACAGCTGGACAGTGGTGCAATCTGCATCAAAGCCTTAAAGAGGTCCTATTATGCTTTTTCACTTTTGTAATTTTAGTCAGTGTGTAGTGTGTATGTTTGGGCATAAAAAAGATCTAGAAAGTTACAAATCTCAAAGTCCACTCCAAAGGGAGATATTTAGTTTTAAAAAAATCAATTTTCAAGAACTACAGCAAACGGCTCGTTTGGACTACAGCGTTTGGTTTCCGGGCTTTATGACATCACAAAGCGGCTCATTACAAATAATTCCCGCCTACAGAAATTCGAATGGTTGGGGGGTGGGGAGGGGTGAGGTCGTGGTTAGAACGCTTGGTTGAGTGAGAGCATGAGACGAGACGACGACGAAGAAGAAGAGCTGTTGCAGAGTTAGTGC